ACCAGACTCACTCACAATGCGTTTTGCTCCGGGTGTTCGTGCACTCGTTTCCTCTGAAATCCTGCGCATGCTGCTCAAGGCTTTCGCGCTCCGCTGGACGTCACTGCGTCAACAGTTCGCTTTGGGCGCAGGACTGACAACCCTTGAATGCCGAGAGCTCCTCCACCGCCATGGTACGGTCGCCTACAAGTCCTTATTCTCAGCGCACTCCAGGAAATCGGTCGCCCTGAATCGAGACGAGAATCCAAGAACGGTTGTAGCAACGAGGTAGGTGCCAGCCAGAAGGGTGTCGGGCTCGGCAATGAGGGTAGCGCGATCCCCAGTCGGATGTTGCAGTCGCCTTCGCGGCCAGTTTCGGTAACTCTGGTCCAGACCCAACTAGGGTTTGGACTTTCGACCCACAATTGGTGCCTGTCGCAGTGGTCCTCAAAAAACTTGCTACACACGAAACGGACCACGGAAGGATGAGGAGGGAAGGGAAGGATGAGGAATCGGTAATAAAGCGACCAGCCGACGATTCAGTAGTCGATGACTCAGGGGAACGAACCGACAGCTCGGCTACTGGCTCCGTATCCGAGAAAGAAACGCCGTCGCGGCGCTTTGGCACACAAGCAGGAAGCGGGGCTGCTGTCTGTGAAAGCGAAATTGTCCTTGTCGTACAGCATCCCCTTCTCAAAGTACACGGAGAAGAGGAACCAACAAGTCTTGAGGAAACGATTGAGGAACTCTATCTGCTGTGGCAACGTCGTGATACGGCACTCTTCTCGCGGGGCCTGCTCTAAGGACCAGATGCGAACGCTACATACGCCGTTGAGGCTGACAAACGCCTCACCTTTACTAGCTGCGTTATTGGCGAACCACTTGAGATACTGGTTACCTGTCTCCCTCATGACTTTCCCGTCTCCACTCGGCGGATCGTTTCCATGCTGGCTTCACCTCTTAAACATGTCGCCGAAGTTCACTCACTACTTCCCGCACGCTTGAATGGCGTCGCACACATCGCCCCGTCCGTTCTGGCGCATTCGCACGGATACACACTGTCAACGGCGTCAAACCCAGATCCGCTGTTAAGTCGGCTGGCAAAGCCGAAGAACCCGCGATCGAATCCGACTCTGACTCTTACATCACTGAAGGCTACGTCAGCGATGACAATGAAGACGACGACATCGCACTCAGACGATCAATGCCACGTGAAGGGGGGGCAACCACCAAGTTGGGCGCCGCAACCAAATTGACAGAAACGAATTGAGCCACACCGTGATGAACTGGAGGGTAATCCGGAGGACGACCCATCCGACGACCATCCGCTGGTCCTACCGGAAGCCGAGTCGCGCATCCTAAGTGAAGAACGGAGTGAAGAACCAACTCCCACTTCCAGACGACGCTCCAAACGGAACAGTCGGGCGCCGGAACCCCCCGAGGCGTTCAGTCGCGAAACCGAGGAACCGGCCATTACACTCCCAGAAGACGCAAACGTTACCGACCTTGGCGACGACATCTTCTACGCCTTCCTTGACTCCGGCAGGTACGCAAAACACACCCCGGATGACACGCACCCTCGATGGACACACACACCGGATGACACACATCCTCTTTGTAGTTTGAGTCAGTCTTCTTCGGAGTTTTCGCGACAATTGTAGTTTGAGTCAGTCTTCTTCGGAGTTTTCGCGACAATTACAGCGGTCGGCATTAAGTCACCAGATAAAGCAACTGCGACATCAATTGGGTAAGCAAAGTGCGCATGCATCGGTACCGTTTAGTGTGGTCGTGAAATTGACGTGTGCGGAATGGTTGACGGTGGAACATGGGACTATATCAGTGCGTCCATGGGCGGATGTAGCATCAGCTTTGTACCGTCGTGCGGGTACGGGTGAGTGTGCGTTACAGTTTGCTTCGTTGCTCGTGTCTTATCGACAGTTGCAGAAATGGCTCTGCGACCTGTTCTATCCGCCCGACGCGGGCGAGAT